CTCCCTAACTAAATTTCTTGGTTTTGTCCTTGTAAACACTCTTCAGTTTAATACATTTTACAATATATTTATAAAAAAATTATTATTTTTAAATTTAACCAAATTAAAAGAGTTCAAAATTTCTATTTTTTAAATTTTCATCTAGTATTGGTGGCAACACGGATTCTCACAAGGATCCCATCCCCATTAATTACCTGTGTCCATGAGGCTATGAATCGAGTACCCATGTACTCTGAATAATAAAAAATTTTGATTTATCAAAAAAAAAAAAACCTGTTAGAGATACCGTCCCCAAAATTGATAGGAACGAAGATGGTATGACTTCCCATTCTTGTACTGTCCGGATGCCATTCCTATTCATGAATTATGATGAAAGGGAAATCTGGAATATTATAGAAGATCAATTTATGGCGGGATTTAAGCCTTTAATATTTTATCTCTGGTACCGAATAAAGCCCAATTTGCTTACCTAACCGGCACTCATGTCAAGGTAAAAAATGGATTAGTCCAAATGATTTGAAAGGTTTTAGTTAAGAGAAAAAGGACGTTTTACTAAAACGTAAACATGTAAAAACGCCGTTTCTTCTCTTACCTAAAACCTTCCAAATCATTTAAAAAAGAAGAAAGGACTTTTTACTAAAACGTAAACACGTAAAAACGCCCTTTCTTCTCTTACCTAAAACCTTCCAAATCATTTGAAAAAGAAGAAAGGACGTTTCAAATGATTTGGACTAAGGACCAATACTATACCTCTAAGGATAGATTATTTGATTTCCATATCAGAACATATCTTTGGTGCAGAAGATGGAATGGGTTTAAGTATATCTCTTCTATGGAGTGGTGTTTACAACTAAGGCAGGTCTTCTATAATAAGGATAAACAGCCTAAATTCCTAATGGGAGATTAATTTACAGGGTATGATTGAGAATTGCTTTAAGAAAATTGAGGCTTCTAAATGGGTATCAATGTATTTGCTCCAATTGCTTTGTATAGGTTAAATTACTTCTTGTATTCTAAATTTAATAAAAATATGTTTTACATTTCAAAAAATTTAAACGTTAAGATTCTCTATAAAATTATTTAAATATCTTTAATAAATATTTTTTATATTGATTCACTAAAGGTAGTTTAGTTTTGCTATTTTCATTTCTGGTATTTTAATTGTCTTTTAAATAATTTTGAAATGTAATTAAAATACCAGATTTGATAATGAAAAGATTAAAATACCTTCTGTGAATAAAAAAATGTTCATTAAGAATATTTAAGTAATTTTACATGAAATTCTAACATTTAAAATGTTAAGATATTTTGATTTTTGCTCTTAAATATACCTTTTTGTCATTAATTTATATAGAAAAATATACAAGTTAATCTTAATTTTAGTATCAGTATCACATTAATGAATTTAATTAGGTAATTGATAAATTAAAAATTGACATTTATTTTTTCAATATAAATTTAT